CGCACGCACGCACGCACAACACACACCGGCTCAGGACACAACCACAATCATTACAGCAAGTGGTGGTCTGCCGCTAGATTTCCTGCTTCGCGTGCTTGTCATTCAACTTCCGAATACCTTCCCGCTTGAGCTTCACGGCATCCGCGGTTTCAGCTGCAAATGCCTGCAGACACGAGTGGGGTAAAATTGCCCCTCCAAGCAATAGCCTCGCCTCGTAGTTCTGTTGAGCAGCAGCTTCTGCTTGGGCAGCTTCGGCGGACAGTGTCTGACACAGAAAGCCGGGCAGCTTCCCCTCCACTCTGTGTCCGTGCACTCTGTGCCTCCGTGTCCGCAATCACCTGTTGGATCGTTGTGAGAACACTTTTGCCTCGAGAGCGGCCATGGAACGGCACAAGCATGTTGAAGTGTGTCAGCCTCCGGATGCACGCTGATAGGCGCCAAAGCCTTTGTCCACTGCGCAATTGCTGAAACTTCAAGCGCTCTGAGTGAAAGCCTGCTTGCCGGAGCGTGAGGCAGACAGAGCGTTCCGGTCTGTCTGCTTCTGTGCCCGTCGGCTTCGTGTCAAGTGCACCTTTGTCAAGCCTCTGTGAAAAAGGGAAACCTAATTCCAACATGATAATGACGGTGCTTCTTTTCTGTTGGAGAGACAAAGTCTTCCAGGTGTTCGATCTTGTTTCCAGCACTCCCATCACCAGCTGCCTGCTAGTCCAGTGCCTGTGCACCGAAGATAAAAAATCATAAAAGTGCTAGCATCTCATTCATGCTCCAGCAGTGACAGCTGTTCAATCTTAGTTTGCGTGGTTCGTCACACAAACGATAAGGTGTCGCTTTCAAACGATTGACCTTGCTGCAACTAATTTTAGTGGCAACCACTTCTCAACTAAGAAACAGCTCTTCATAGGCGAAGCAAGTGGTAGCACACGTTGTTCTAGGCCGGTGCTGGCCACTTGCGGCATGGAGGTCAGGATTTAGAAAGCCGTTGCGGTCCTTGCGGCGCCTTGAACAGCCTGGGTCCCTGATAGCATTGCATAGGCCATCGCACGCCCTTTGACAAACATTGCATGCACGCTGTTTCCAGTCTTTCTCTTCTTCTGCGTACCCGGAACGGATGCCACCTTGTCCAGTCCGTCGGCTGTTTTAAGCCGGCACGAAACTTGCCGCAATTCAAGCACTAGCCCCCTCCCTCCAAGCAGGGATGCCGGGCGAACCTGCCTGCTGGTGATTCCGACTGGTCCAGCTGAAACATGGATGCGCCCTGGAATCGCCCCAAAGCTCTCCCACTGCAGCGTGGGGTTGTCAGCGTAACACAGCCTCTGAAGAGTATGTATCCTTGAGAACTGCCAATGCCTCAACATCACGCGCAGATCTGTGGAGACTGTGTTCGTCGCATGATGACTGCGCAGCCTGCTCGAGTGCTCTCTTCTTCTCGCGCTGCTCGAGAGTCAGAGATTGAAACTCCCCATTCTCCTGTAGCAGCGATAAGCCAATCGTGTTTTTGCCATGCCACTTACCTGAGACCCAGAAGCACAACGGGATGCAGTGTGCTCGGATCCACAATGTCCTTCTCCCGATTTTGACTCGCCAGCTGTGCTTGAGCAAGCAACTCATCTACCTCACTCTGCCTTACGAGACCCGGATGAAAGGAGCACGCTCACTTGAGAACTTGGTGTCGCACAGAATGGCTGCCTCATTAGTGGTGGCCGCGATCTCGGCCTCTGAGGTCCAAGTGCTCGCATCGATCACAGCATCGACCCGCGCGCCTGCAATCCCATCTCATCAGCGCTCTGCTGTTGCTTTGCATCATTTTTCTCCTTCCACAAGATCAAGTCATCCGACACTCACGAAACCAGGCATGTTGAGAAGCACGACCGAACCGACCAAGTGACTACAACTACTTGCGACAGGGCATCTTTTCTTTCCTCTCTTTCACGATCACTGGACTGTCGACCGTACGATAACTTTTGTTTATTGTCTCGCTTGTCATCGCAGCGGCAGTTCGAGTGCATCTGGATTGCGCTAAAGATCTGCGAAGCTGTCTGCAAAAGAATATCCATGTCAGTAACTTCTTGTATGCAAGGCCAGAAGTCGGAATGCGCATCTGCGGCACAAATGGTCAAGCGGAGCGGACCTATCTTCTCCAGATGGGCCAGGGGCTGAAATGGTGCGGATCCGGCAGGAGTTCACGGTGGTCCCGAGTCTGCTCTTATAGGACCAGGGCTCTGAAGAAAGAAACACAAAACTTGTTGAGGGTCGGAGCTCTCAGGCCAACTTCATCCGGTGAACAGGAACAGAAACTACTACTGCTCGCCCTACCACTTCGAACGAGGCTACACGACGCGTGGGGCTTGACATGTGCCGTTGGCTAATGTGACAACTTGAATCTTGGAGCTTGCTGGACCATGGGGGTCCTACAAGCTCGCGAATCTTCAACCTTGAATGAATGTGTCGGACCTCGTGGTGTTAGCGCATGACTGTTGTCTCCGTCATACACACATTGCCATCTCAGAATTGGGTCTCGGGAAACTCGCTGAGCATATGTATCTCGCCTTTGTCGACTGCAGGGCCCAATTGCAGAGTTGCATGGTATTTGCTGGCGTTTTGCCGCGGGCAAGTGCCGCGGGCCTCGCAGAGTTTGCGCCTTCACTGGAATTTGCACCTGGAGAGGGCCGACTTTACAGGCAAACTTCGAGATATGTCGAGGTTTCTGCCGGAGTCGTCTCCTTTCTACCCACCTTCTGAGCTCGGCATGGAGCCGGCGGATACAGGAGATCCGACTGACGATGATGTCCTTTCCAGCCGTGACCAGGAGCAAGATCCTCCCGCCTCGTCCGGCCAGCGAAGCGTCGATCGTCACACAAGGACCCGCTCGCAAAGACAGGCAGGCTCAGGCAGGTCTGCGGGACGCTACGTCTTGCGGATCCGGGGAGAGTCACTGCGGTTTTCTTCCCCTGCGCTCCTGAGTACGCCCTGAGATGATCACTGTGTCAATCCAATGCTCTACGGTTGATGTGGCCTTTCAGTGGGTGCTGCTGGAGCTGCGAAGACCTTGCACCCGCGAGCACCGCCCTGCAGCTGAGTGGTGTGCTGCAGAGCTCCTCTTATCCATCAGGGCCTGGTCCAGGCCCTCCTTCAGCTCAACTCCTCGGATGAGGCCTCCATCTGGGAAGCTGTTGCTGATTTCATCGCGCCTCTGGAGCAGTTGATTTGGAGTCTCGGTGCCAGCTTGGGCCGAGCATGACGGTGCTGTTGCCGGTGCGCTTCCCACCGCAGCGAACGTTGTCCTGCTTCTAGATCCGGATCTATGTTGTGACACTTTCCGGCGACCCACGATAAGTCCGGTCAGTCTGGATGTCATGCTTCGGCTGAATGCCCCGGATGGTTGGCCTTCTCTTTCGTTCTGTCGGGGCCCATCTTTCGCTTGCGGTTGGACTCGCCTCCCTTGCAGGAATTTCCTGTGTAGAGTCCCCTTGGCCGCAGCCGAGAGACATGGCCGATGGTTGAAGCGACGTGCGATGTCCTTGGGGCATCCAGCAAGCACAGGTGGCTCCGGTGTACCTTATTGCCTGCGCTGCGGCCCTTGAATGTTTGGAGCCCATTGTTATTGGCCAGCTACTTCAGGGTGGGTTTGACGTCTGCCAAGACAGCATCTGCTCACCAAGCCCATAAGCTGGTCCCTGTTTCAGCTGAATTCGTCCTCTGCTCGGCGTGCGTCGGCTACGACCGAATCGCTCCCAAGGCAGCAGTAGCAGTAAGTAGCAGTAGCAGTAGCGGCAAAGCAGCAGCAGAACCAGTAGTGGCAGTGGTAAGGAAGTAGTAGAGGAAGAAGAAGAAGTAGTAGTAGTAGTAGTAGTAGTGGTAGTAGTGGTAGTGGTAGTGGTAGTGGTAGTAGTGGTAGTAGTAGTAGCAGTAGCAGTAGCAGTAGCTATGGGCGCCTCCAGGCGCCTGGTGTTAACCTTGCTTTCGGGCGTCTTACCGCGGTGGCGGGGGGGGTGGGGGGAAGGGTGCAAAAAACAACATGGTTGACAGCAAAGGTGATTGCCTTTTTGCCTTTGGCATTAACATTAGCAGTGGCACTAACAGCAATAGCCACAGGTAGCAGCCGCGAGGGCTTGAAACGTTGCTGTATGTTTCAGATATGCAGGTGGATGTTGCCGGTTGTTCATATTCATCATCATCTTCATAATCATCACCCTCACCATCCTCAACATCATCCTCAACCATAGCATCTTCAGCATCATCTCCATATCATCATCCGGAATATCCTCAACATAATCGTCAACCTCAGCATCTTCATCATCATCATCATCATCATCGTCATCATCATCATCATCATCATGTTCAGCGTACGTAGTAGTACTCCCAATTAGTTGGACAGAACTTCGCTTAACTGCATTTCCTAAAAATTGTGTTAA